CCCACAGGCTCAGGCAATCCACTCACCTCAGCCTTCCAAGGCGCGGGATTACAGGCTGAGCCACTGAGCCCGGCTGCTTCAAGATTTGTATTTCTGTCTCTGAGATAATAATCACTATAACATGAGTCTAACAGAATAATTTCCTTTTATCAGCCAGCAAAGACAACCCTTCAAAATATCCTCCCTTTGTCTAAATATTTAAAATATTAGGCCGGACATGGTGGCACATGCCCACAATCCCAGCACTTTGGGAAGCTGAGGCAGGAGCACTGCTTGAGCCCAAAAGTTCAAGAACAGCCTAGTCAACTCAGTGAGACCTCATCACTACAAAAAAAACAAAAAATTAGCCAGGCATGGTGGCATGTATCTATAGTCCCAGAACTCGGGAGGCTGAGGCAGAAGGACCACCTGCGCCCAGGAGGCTGAGGCCATGGTGAGCCATGATTGCACCACTGCACTCCAGCCTGGGTGACAGACTGAGAGATCCCCAACTCAAATAGGACTTTTTTACAAATAGGACTTTTTATTTGTCACTCTTAAAAGCCTAGATATTAAACAGATTCTTGGACTGCTGGTTCATATCCATCAGCTCGTTCAACTTTAGCACCTGTCTCATCCCCAGTAGTTTTTCCAGAACTACTACCTTCACCATGCAGCTCCATGAGTTTTCCCAATTCAAACTTGGGCTTCCTCAGCATTTTTACTTTTCTAACAAAGACATCATGAAGTGGATAAATAGATTGGCAGGTCTTTTCTATGTCTTTTCCAATGCAGTCTGGAATCAATTTATTGACCACTTCTTTTAAGTCATTTGTCTGCACTTCCCGGGTCATGATTTCCATCATCGTATTCCGGATCTGGCGGACCTGTTGGTGTTGAGCGTAAGAGGTCTTCTGTATCTGACTGTTGCATTTTTTAGTAAAACGAACACAAAACAGACAAAGCAAATAACCATCGGTAGTCTTGACGTCAACATGAGCTTCAATCATGGTCTGCCATTTTTTGACCATGGAGCACATTTTGTCCCGGGTCAGGTCCATGCCATGGAAGTTAGTCAGACAGTTTCTGCCTTGAACATCTTCAGTGATCAGCTTGAATTTCCTAAATGCAACTTCATCATTCTGCAGATCGGCAAGACTCACTTCAAACACACAACCCTTGAGGCCATCGGATGCAATTTTGGTTCCTTGCGTCCTGGTGACCAGCGTTGTGCCAATATTTCTTATATTGAACATAGCAGGCGCTTTCACATCATACCAATCTTTCTTAGAAAATGGATCAACCACTTTCTTCTTGGCTCCCTTTTTGCCGCCTTTCGTAAGGCGCTTGTTCTTGCCTACCGCCATGGTGCCACTCAGAGAGCCAAAAGGGCCAAAAAATAGCTTTTTAATTTAAAAAAAAAATCCCAGCCAGGAGCAGTAGCTTAGACTGTAATCCCAGAACTTTGGGAAGCCAAGGTGGGAGAATTGTCTGAGCCCAGGGGTTTGAGACCAGCCTGGGCAACTTGGCGAGATCTAGTCTCTACAATAAATCACAAAAACTAGCCAGGTATGGTGGCGTGTGTCTGTAGTTCCAGCTACTTGGAAGGCTGAGGTGGAAGGATCTCCTAAGCACAGCAGGTTGAGTCTGCGATGGCTGTGAGCATGCCACTGCACTGCACTGGGCGACAGTGAGACTCCAACTCAAAAAATAATAATAATAATCCCTTTATGGACAGCCCTCTCAAGTCCCCCTCCCACTGAGGGAGCTTTTCTGTCCTCTCAATAAATCCTGCTTTCTCACTTAAAAAATAAATAAAAATAAATCCCTTTATTAAGAAAAAAATAATCTTAAGAATTCCAGCACTTTAGGAGGTAGACATAAGATTGCCTAAGTCCAGGAGTTCGAGACCAGTCTGGGAAACTTGACAAGACCATCTCTACAATAAATTTTTAAAAATTAGCAGGATGTGTTGGCATGTGCCTATAGTTCCAGTTACATGGAAGGCTGAAGCAGAAGGATCACCTGAGCTCAGCAGGTTGAGGCTGCAGTAGCTGTGACTGTGTCACTACACTACAGCCTGGACAACAGAGTGAGACTGTACCCCTCCCCCCAAAAAAAAGAATTCCATAGGAATAAAGACCTAATTTGAATGCAGAAAGTGGAAGTTACCTCCTTCAGCCTGTTTCAGACATTGTAAATACAATCCATCTACTCCACTGAGCAGTTTCTATGCTATAAAGCCAATGGTTCCAGAAATACAATGTGTAGAACTTCACAAACTATACTCACCCAGTCTGCTTCTCTAAATTAGATGCATTGACCTCAAACAC